AGCACGGAGGACGGAGGCCGGGAGGAGCGGTGGCAGCGCCTCGCTGTCGCTCCGGAGGCCGTCGAAGCCCGGGCCAGAGTTGCCGGCTGTCCCCACGAGGCAAGATGTGTAGCGAAAGTGTCGGGGTTGGAGCTGTGGCACTGAGGCGTGTAAAAAAAAGCAAATCGGTGGGGCCCTGTCATCTACCTCCAGCTTCCACCCTGCCGTAAGAAAAGTTTAATGCAGCCATAATCCGTGAAGTCAGATTTCGCCACCAATTCATGGGCTTGTGTTTTTATTGTCTTTGCTTCCACTCGTGTTCGTGTTTGAGATATTTTGTTTGGCGCTTTTTTGGGGGGGGTATTGTTTTGTTTTAGACGAAGTCTCTAGTCCAAGCTGGCCTGGAGCTCGGGATCCTCCTGCCGAAGCCAGAGAGCCGGTGCTAGTATTACAGGTGTACCCCACCACACACTGCCATTGATCTTTTTTTATGAAGAACTAAAGTCACCTTGAAAAAGGCAATAGTTGCGAAATTTCTGGTTCCTAAAAAGGAAACTTAAAAGTTCCATAGGAAACTGTGTTACTTTCTTAACTTGTTGGCAAAAGTTAGGGAAACCCATTTGCAACATTTTAACATTTTTGTTGCAATGTCTTTGCATTACAGATGTTGCCTAGAGTCCATATAAGGAAATAAATATAAAATACTTGGGATACTTCAAAGCTGTACAATTTAGCGACTATGCAATTGCTGAATCATAGAACTAATCATATAGCTTACAGCACAACAATATTGTAGAAGCACTAACAGAACTGAAACTTAACCTTGAGTGGCCACTTTTCATCAGGAGACTCCACCCACCATACAGAATATTGAACCAATTCTTCACACTGAGCTATATTCCCTGCCCCCCACTTTTTTTAAATTTTGAGATGATCTCTAACTTGCCTAGGCTGGACTCAAACTTGAATTCTCCTGCCTCAGCCTCCCAAAGAGCACAGGCATGTACCATCGTGCCTTGCAAGAGGCATTTTAAAGGTGGGGTCAGCTGTCTTCCCTTGCTCTTGCATTCTTTGCCACAGGTCCCAGACTGAGCAGCCTTACATTGCACAAGACTTCTCTCCCTCTTAGTTGTGGATCTTCAATCGCTGCATTTCCAATTATCTTTCCATCCCATGACACATATTTTAAAAGAGATTGATGCTGTGGCTTTGAGGTGGGAAATTGAGAGGTGACATACAAGAGGAAGCTATGAAAATATACCACCTCGTTTGTGGCCCTTATTTATCTTAGAAGCACTGCTTTGGAATCTAACCAGAGTTTGAATTCTAGCTGAGTGATTTATAACGTTGGGAAGGTCATTGACCCTAAGACTCAGCTTCCTCATGAGTAAAATAAGGTTCTACATGTACAAATGCTGGGACAGAGTAAGCTTTCTTCAATTTGTGGACGAGGTACAGCTACTTCCTGCTTAGTGATTCCCAAAACGATAGTAACAGCTTACATTTATTGAGTGCATTATCTATGAGGCACTGTAATATGCATTTAAATTCTCACAGCATCTTATGTGTTAGTGCTATTATAAAAACTGACAGGTTAAGAAATAAACCTACACAGCAGCTAATTAGTCATTGTGAGAGTCAGGATTTGAACACAGGTAGTTTGGCCCCAGAACATGTATCTAACCACTGTATAATAAATACTTCCTAATGGCATAGTGTTCTAATCAGCTTATGTTCTTTTTCATTCCTACTCCTCAACAAACTCCCTCTTTCCTTATGGACTTTCACCCAAACAATGAAGTCTGGCATTGCTGAAAAAAGTACTATCTATCCTCAGATATAAACACACTTTATTTAGTGTTAACTCTTTTCTGCACATGCTAAGCAAGCACTCTACCACTGAGTTATACCACCAGTCCCCTCACAACTTTTTGTAGTACCTCTAGAAACTCCTTAAAGTTATCTCCAATGCTTCTAAGAATCTGTAGATAATATTTTTGAAAATACCACTCTAGAATCAAAATAGATAAAATCATGCTCTCTTACAAGGCCATGGATATATGAGCCTTGTAATCAACAGAGCATAACACAAAGCTTGGCAAAAAGAGGGCAAGCTGGATTTAAGCGTCCATTTGCCATTATGTCCCCATTTGCCCCTCAACCTTGGTTCTCTTATTAAGTAAATTCCGTTCTACACAATTTCTGGATGACTGCATGTGTCAACTTAGGTTCCAAGTGGCATCAAAGGCAAAATAGCAGGAACTTAACATAGATGCCTGTTTTTTTCTCATACAAGAGCAGTCTGGAAGCAGTCCAGGATTTGTGTTGCTGTAGTGTCAGATATCCAGGCTGCTTTTGTTACCAAACCAGGCCTGTTTAGCCTTCCACACCTGCAGTCTGCCAGTCACTGAAATGACCAACTTTGTACCAGAGAAAGTTTATCTGCCATGTAGTCCAGCGTGTGGAAATGGAAAAGCAAGCCTCAAATAGGCCATACTCACATCAAAGTTTAGGGGAATTATGGGACAAAGAATGAGGGTGGGCTAATCCATGGGGAAAGGTGATTGGAGTTAAGAAAAAGTGAAATCATCAATGGCCTATATGTGCATCATCAACCTTCATGGCTTTGCACAGGACACGTGGTCAAAAATGGTCTCAAAGCAGAGCTTTGTCCTTCTGATGTAAAAAGCTTGCCTATCAGACACTTGACCACATCTTTTTCTCTTAAGGATGTGTATAAATTATATTTCCCACTTCTGCTTACTTCCTAATAACCGAAGCATAGTTTTCTGAAAATACTTAGTGGAAGGAATCTGGAAAATGCCTTCTGAGTGGTCATGTGTTCTTCTGAAAAGTCAAGGGAGAGAGAACAGACTGTGAGAGGTAACTAATTAGTAATAAACTGTGTGCTCAATAATTTCCCAGATTCATGTTGTAACCTAGCAGCGCTCCAACTCATCCTTGAATTTTGTCAATATTTTAACCACACTGTCAAGGCTTGCTATTATTCTAAATAACATACTAAGTGAACTGAGCTTGGAAAATCCAATTTTTTGGGGGGGATACTGGGGATCAAACTCAGGTCCTTGCATTTATGAGGCAGATGGTGGAACCACTGAGCCAAATCCATGGCCCAAAAATCCAATTTTTTAAAAGATATTTTCAAAAGGTGTTTTTATGTGATACATTATGTTTAAGGTGCACTTTTTAAAAGAGGTGTTCTTATAGCTTATATTATGTTTAAGGTAAAATTACTAACAGTTGAGAGGGACATTGAATAAAGCCAAAAGTAAATATGTAAACCTCTTTCAAACCAGAAAAGTCAATGATTTTCTTAATCATTCCTATGTTTACTGGAGGGAAATTTAAGGAAAGGGCAGAAAAAAAGAGCAGCTTTAGGTTTCTTTTAAGCAGTGTTTTTCAAAGTATTTTCTTGTGGCTAATAGTAGCAGCTCCTTAGCTTCTTAGAGCTTATTACAAATACAGATTCTCTAGACACAGGCTATATTTGCTAAAGAAGAAACTCTACAGTTAGAGCCAACGTTTTTTAAAAAAAACTTTATTATACATAATTTTAGATTTACAGAAATGTTGCAAAGATAATATACAGTTTCTTTTCATCTTTATTAAAGTTTATTTTAGCAATACAATACAGTTACATTTATCACTGGAATCTTGCACCTTTACATGACTTATCTTGGTTCTTATTTTTCCTCATTCCCCAGCCCTCCCTTCCACCCCTCCACCCTTCCCAGTTTACAAAGACATTGTTTCCATGTTTTTCCTTTTCACATATT